GGCTTCAGCACTATATGCCGATAACCGGATCCCTGAGTGACCCACACGTTGGCGAACTCGGTCTTCGGCAGCCAATACTGTGCCGATTGTGGCCCAGAGATGAAGACATAGCGCTGAAGAGCCACTTCACTCGTTTGCGGCACAAAATATGGCCGAACGAAGAGCTGCCGAATCACACGAATCGCTTCCACGCGATTCAGTTTCCACTCTATTTGCAAGTCTTTCTTCCAATTCATTACATTATCATTACTTCTGTTATGACTTTCCGTTGAATCGCTCAACAAATGCATCAAATCTTTCAAATTGTTAATCACTTTTGGTCCGCAATTGGAGGTGAGTTTAGCGGTTCCGAACTCCAGGTGTTCTTCGTTCGCGCGGTAAGTATTGACCAAAGTTTTGGCAGTGATTTGGGATGGGATCAGGTCTTTGACCACAAATGGCTTCTCATTGTTCACATACTCTTTGGCCAATTCGTGAAGATTAGTCAAATCGGAGGCCTTATTGAGTCCATCGCATGGCCAACACTCCAGACCTACCGAACCATAGAAGGGATTCTCGACAATGCATTCCTCGACATCCCATCCGATGAGATGTTTGTGGTGTCGGATGAGAGGTAGTGTCCAAAGTCTCAATTGTCTCATCACTGGATAAATCAATTGTTGACTATTTCTGAGTATAAAGCGTTGTGTCGGACAATGAGTCGAAAGCAATACAATTAACAGCAATAATATAATCATTGCTTTCAATGACTTTAACATCACTTTCGATACGAAATACAAAAACGCGTACAAAATATGGCAAACATTTGACCGCTTTTTCTTCCTCCGAGTCTTCGTTTGGACATCTTTTTCGTCAAATATCTCGTCAATCAATTGAGTCAACTCGTCTTCGTCTATACTAAACCTCTTGAGCATCGATTCAAACGAAATTAAATCATTTTCAATGCATTTTAAATCATTATTTAAAGCCATTGTCTATAAGTTTCCGGTCTTTTAAAAATGCATTCAAACTTTTTTCGCCCAAAATATTGCTGTTATTATGATTATAGTGAAGCGCTGTTCACATATACCGTACGCCTGGAGTGGGGTTCGGGGGCTAATGGAGAGAGTGATGACATCTAATGTGTTTGAATATAGCATTTGGAGATGTTTTGGGAGACAATGAATGGTTGTCTCATTTGAATGAATAGTGTGTGTAATGTATTGTATGAATGAATGCTATGGTATAGCACTGTATGCTATCGTGACATCTGCATTACGTTACTGTCGACTATATGTTTTGTGACGTAAACTTCGTGAGTAACTAACTTGTGAACTAAACTAACGTTAAGTGCAGAGGAAATATATGTTGATAAATATGTAGCTATTTAATTATAATTATTATATTTATATTTGAATTTATTTTTTACACTTAATTTATATACAATTGTCGGCAAATGTATTGATTGTATGAGAAGTGAGACTAAGAAATTGAGTCAAATTGGGTGAAAGTGTGACACAAATCGGTGTCCAATTGAGCGGACAATTGGATCCGATCGACGATTTGATGCAGAATTCCATACATTTTAAACAGTATATCAAAAATGACAATAATTTGAATGTAATGTCCATTCAATCAATCGTTTGTGCCTTTTATTCATTAAAATTTCTTTGTTTTGCTTTTGTTTAGTCTATAAGTAGTGAAACATTTGACGAATTGGTCGAAGAAGTGCTGATCGGTGTCTACTTCGAGGTCCACAGAGCGGCCAAACATACAAAATGCCTGTTTGTCGACGAATCACCCACTCTTGAGTTAGTCCACCACTCTTTGTATCCATTGTTTAAACCATTTAATTGTTAACATTTATTGTATTGTAACTTTATCTCATTATAGACTCATTTCTAGTATTATTTGAGATAAAAATAACAATAAATTGGTTAACAATTGAAAGCAATGCAAACATACATTCATTTAAACTGTTATTAATAATGAAATTTTCATTTGTTTTGTTTAGACACGAAAAATACGGTATGAATTGCACAAAGAGTTTGTATAGATTTGTTGAAATTGATTGTATGATTGAATGTATGCTTTGATAGCCATAATCGACAAGAAAGGGTTAGACATCTTCGGTGAGTTGCCGATCAAGAAGCAGATGGAGTGCGTTTGTCCCAACTGTCACCGCAATTTGGCCGCTTCCCGGTTCGCACCGCATCTGGAGAAGTGTATGGGAATGGGACGCAACAGTTCCCGAATCGCCAGCAAACGCATCGCCACCTCTTCTGTCAAGAATAACGACTCCGACGACGACTACGACAACAACGGAGACACCGATTGGAATGTTTATTGCGGTGACCAGAAGAAGACCAGACGAAAGCGGCTCAAGAATGCCAACGGTATTGGAAACGGCAATAGTGTTCATAAAAAAGTAAACAATTCCAAAGCCAACAAATCGGGTCTAAACACTAAATGAGTTATTTATTTAATTTAATATTTTGTATGCATTTATGTTTCATTAATAATAATAATAATTGATTTGTGAACAAAAAAAGTTTTGTTTTGTTTACTCTTTCTAATCGTTATTTCTTTCTGACAGCTCTAGAATTGGTTCACATTTTTATTGCATTAATGTTTTTAAAACGAGAATTAATGCATTTTTTAATTGGTTTAAAGAATAACTATTTAATTGGCAAAAGTGTTATCTCTTACAGAATATATGATAAGAGAGTCGTCGGTAAACACATGTGATCTTCACTTGTTTTATCAAATATTATATTTATTTTCTAACTTTAAAATTGTTTTTGATAGGAATTGTTTGAATAGTTGTTAGAAATAATTGTTAATAAAAGTTAAATCCAGTTTAGGGGTCAATGAGAGCTAACGTCAACTCTCCATACATTATAAGTTATAAATTATAACACGAGAAGTGCTACAAGTTTTGCGCTTTTATTACATATAAATATAGCCCTAAATGACAAGTAAATCATTAAAGCGTTAAATAACAAGTGAATTGTAAATGAGATGATAATATGTGACCCTTTGGTCTCAAATAGCCGTCTCATAAACGAGTCATTCACTCAAATGATAACAATTTTGGCACAACTTTAGGACAAACTCTCAATTACTGAACGATCCCTTAAACCAAACCCAATGAGGCGTCAAAATATACTGCTCTTAAACAACGTTACGCTCGACAGGAAGTGGGAGGAGAGAAGCAATTAGATTAGTATTAATTTTAATTTGCCATTAAATTAATGAAAAACGTATTGATTTATAAATGAAATAAATTAAAACAATTGGTTTTAAGTGTTGACTGAATAGTGATTTGAGTGATTGCTATAAACTCGATGTGAATTGAAATAAACGGTACGTAAAGGGAGTGATAAAGGGATGAATGGGTGACACGTAATGAAGTGATTGTCCATTAATTGAATGCATTGAGTGACCGGTGTTTACATGTTTTGGTTTGCATTTTGACAACAATTAACGCAAAACTATTGATTCAATCAATTGATTGTCCACTAAATGGCTATTGAATTGCCGGACAATTATGTCATTCAATACATACTATAATCGCTTCATTTGTAAATCAATTTGTAATTTATATTTTCATTAAATTGTGAGTAAAAAAAGTGCCACAAATGTTATCAAACAATTGATTTTGTATTTTCTGAATTGCATTTGAATTTACAGATTAAATGATAATCCAATTCATCACTGATTGTCTCATTTAGTGGACAAACCATTGGATCAAACGATTGGATGCAATACTAGGAACAAATACATTCATCACATTATAGACACAGCCATTGATTTTCATTAGAAATTATAGTAATTTTATTTAAATAATAATTGTTTGCAAATAATTGTGACCAAAATTATGGGTAAAATATTGTCCAAAATATTTGGTAACAAAGAGATGAGGATTTTGATGTTGGGCTTAGACGCCGCCGGAAAGACAAGTATGGCATCAACACTACTGTTACCACATCTGATCCATACAATCGCTAATCCAAGTGTTTTGTTCCCAACAGCCATACTATATAAGCTTAAATTAGGCCAATCGGTGACCACTATCCCGACGGTGGGCTTCAATGTGGAGACGGTTACCTATAAAAACGTCAAATTCAGTGTTTGGGTCCGTATTTGACTCTCTCTTGGCTTTGATATGCGTTTATATTGATTGTAATATATGTTGTGTTGACTGTTTAGGACGTCGGCGGTCAGGACAAGATTCGGCCGCTTTGGAGGCACTACTATACGGGCACTCAGGGCCTGATCTTTGTGGTGGATTCGGCGGACAGAGACCGCATCGATGAGGCGCGACAGGAGTTACACAAAATAGTGAACGACCGCGAAATGCGTGAAGTGATTATACTTGTCTTCGCCAACAAACAGGACTTACCCGACGGTTGGTCTCAATTGAAACGCTATAATAAATATGTTGTCATTATTTGATCACAATTAATGTGTTATGAATTTGCGAATGAATAGCAATGAAACCGCAAGAAATTCAGGATAAGTTGGGCCTAACGATGACAAGTCTGCGGCAGAGGAATTGGTACGTCCAGCCCGCCTGTGCCACCACTGGTGATGGACTCTTCGAGGGCCTCACGTGGCTTATGTCCAATCATAAGACTTAATTGGTTTTGTAGATAGTGTTTGAGTTTTAGATCAATTTTTTGTATTAATTAATATAATTATTATTATTATTAAGTCATTATCTTTTCTTCAACGAAAGAGTGACAATATTTCCACAAATTATTTATATTTTTATGAGTTTTTTCTGAAAATTGTGTTTTATTTAATACAAAACGTTGGCTTAAATTTTTTATATTGAATATATCAGTGAAAATGATAAATGATTTGTAAACTAAACCACATATTAATGAGATTTCCGGGTATTGAAGAAGCGATTCATGAGATTTCAGTAATAATTTACTTCACAATACCTTTTGTTCCAATATTACCATAATTTCATAGACTATCCATTAGTCAAACTATAATTTTATATAAATATTATTATTATTTATTAATAAAATAATAATATATATAATGAGTGAAAACAAATAATTTTTTATTCATTTACTAATGAAGTATTTTATTAATTATTGGATTTAATTTATTGTATAAAATAGACTCGACTTTCCACTCTTTTCAATAAAATATTTCAATTCAAACCATTTTTTATTATTTTCTCAATCCTTCACTTATTTTATGGCAGATTTGAGTGGAATTCAAACCTTTTTACTGATTTTATCGCATTTTAATACCATTTTACCGTATATTCAAGACGTCTCGACAATAAAACGGTCTCTTTTTGCTCAATACATACTTTGTATTCAAAAATATTTTTCTTATCATTCATACAGAATAATAAGATTTAACACAAAGGTTCTGATGAGACATATATTGGTTGTATTGAATAAGTAATAAATAATGAATTCAATGAGTAAAGCATTTTTAATTGAATTAAATTAATTTATAATATAATATAATATTTGGCAACTTTTTTCTATATTACGATTTTTACAAATTTTATGAAATGATTCACTCATAGAGAGCCATAAAATTAGTTTTATGTATATTTTATACAAATATTATACAAATTTATTGTATGTCAATATTAATTGCAAAAAACGCCAAACAATCGGATACTTTACATAATATATATTTATACTTTGTAATGATTTTATGGACTTATGGTGTGTTGTGTTTGTGGTGAAAATGCAAAGCATTTACAATATAATTACTTAAATAATAATTTAAATCTCGAGTAAAATAAGACAAAAAAATGTATTAATCTGTTGGACAGTCGAAGACATTGAATTTAAACACATTTAAAATCACACTTTAGGTTCAGATCATAAGTTAGCAAAACAATTGTTTAAATAGTTTTAATTTGTTATAATATTTATTGTTTTACACGATTATTGTGTACTTTGAGAATAAAATGCATTCCCAATCCGTCCACCAGTTTGTCACTGCTTCTGACGGAATCTGATTTGTACTTAAGATTTAAAAATAGTATTTTTAAATTTCTTTCATTCGTTGTGATCGTGTTTTTTAAGCCAAAAAAGTTTCATCAAATTTGTTGTCTTTTTGTATTTGCTTTCATTTGAAACAATTTTTAAAATCATTATAAAAACGAATCAAAAGCTAAAATAATTAGTCGTTTTGTAACGAAGATATGTCTGAGTCTTCTTCGGAATACAGTTTCTCCACAATTTGAGGCCTCCTTTACGTCGATTTGTTTCACTCCTGTGTTTCACGAGTTTATGAAATGAGATATCGATCGCTTGACTTTGTCGGTGTAGGAGAGGAGCACTTCCAGCCAACACGGACACGACGTGATGAATTGTCTCGAGTACGCCGGACCCCAACCCTTCGCGAAACTGATCCGAAAGGCGTTGTGATCCATAGGGCCGTCGGGCGGCTCTTTGGAGCGCAGTTTGCGATAGGATTTGGCGATTTCGAAGTCAAATACTTTAATAGAAAAGCCCGGAAATACTTTATATACAGTTAAGTTGCGAGTGTTGGGCGGATCCAGAGTCGGCGAGTTGACAAAAATGGCGTGATTTGAACGGTTGTAAACCCAAACGCCGTCCTCTTCACGCGTGATCGTCACTCCGTAACCGATCTTATCTCTGGTCCGGCGAACGGACTCGTCTTTGTTGCAGATGGAAGTGGAGAACCACTGGCCCAGCCATAGGCCGTCGCCTTGTGGTAAGTGTGCGAATATATTGATGCCGTCGCTGTACACCGGGAACTGTCGGCCGACGCGGTGTTTGAGCTCCCAATAGGCGAGTGTACACCAATGCCGACAACCTTCTGGCTCTGAAGTTTCTATAAATACATTTCGAGACAAATCTCAGTTAAAAAGTCAACAAAAAATCAGTCAAAATAACATCTCTAAAAACTAAATCTGTTGGCGATTAATGTCTTATATAATTCATGTTTTTGTGTGTCTTATAAATAGAAAATAATTTTTACATAAGTTTATGTCAGACTCAAAGTCAGAATTGTTTTATTGCAAAAGTCAACAAAAACACAACAAAAAGAGTTAAATTAAAGATTATTTATTCAAATTCTTGTCTCTCATCCGAAATCAGGAATGAGAATACCGTTCAAATGGAGCCGACATTACATGCAATTTATTTGGATTTTTACCATTTCTTCCTTATTATTGTCTTCCCATTCAATACTATTCGAAACATTCGCTGAAAAGTGAAAACTTATTTTTATTATAAAACATCACTCATTCAGTCATTTCAACAACACTTCACAAAATGGAAACTAAGCATTAAATTCACTAATTTTTTTAGTTTTAAAACCAAACCATTTTATATAAGTTCTCAATCAAAACCAAAAACAACTGCAATGTTTTGCTATTAATTCAATTTACATTATTTTCATTTCAGACAACAATTACAATTTGGAGACCAATTTATTTTATTCGACAATTCAAAGAGCATTTAGTCTAAAGAATATGACCCGAAAAAGCAATATATTTCATCCCAATATGTTTTAATTATCTACAATTTTAAGACTTAAATCAATTTTCAGTGCTATAAAGTTGTCGTCTTCTTATGTTTGGCGACTCTTTAATTGTAAATAAAAAATATAACAAAAATAGTTACAACACTTCAAGACATCAATCAATCAATCATTTTCTCAGTTATTCTTTAGACAATGTGTTGTCTTAAGACTGTTTCGCAAAAAGATATAAAAGTAGTATTTATTTCAGAGACAAAAATTATATCAATCGATATTCTCATTCATAACACAGGAATAAAATTTAATAATTTATTTATAACTAAAAGGCAATTATAATCAACATTTAATATTTTATTATTTAAAACTAATCATGATCCAAATATGTAAAATGCAAAATATGTTTAATTTCACAAATAAATGTAAAATAATACAAATTTATATATAAAAATTAATTTTACAAAATAATTTCAGGCAAAATAGTTTTTAGGCAAAGATTATATAATTTGTGCTGTAAATGCAAATCAGTCATACATAGAATGTATTTAAAGTTAATGTTTACAAAAATCAACTTCATTTTATAAATGTAATTTGATTTCAATTCTGTAAAAAATGGTAAAAATCGTATGTTTTCCTATGATTTCAAATAAAAGCCAAACACTAATTGTATATTTCTATCGGATGTGAGAAAGCAATGGATTGTGAATTAATTGTGAATGAGGTGTGGATTGAATTGTATGGCCGGCAGTGGAAGTGCAGTGCCTTTTGTGTCGTTGAGAGAGACAGACAGAGACAGACAAACAGTTAGGAAAAATATATAAAAATGAAACAAAATTAGACTTTTTTGATAAGGTTTTGTGAAGAAGTGGTGGCGGATTGGCGTCAGTGACAGCTCTGTCTCTCTCCGCAAAACAATACTTAGTGTGAAGTAATGACAGCGCAGGCAATGGCAGGCATCACGCCATCCGACTCGGCGGCGTCCCATCGCTGGTGCCGTTCAATCGTGCATTAAGTATATGTCTTTCAAATTATAGTACAGTATATTCTCTGCGCTATATTTGTTGTATTGCCAGAGCCTTTAGAGCCATAACAACCGCTGCCTACCAGTGCCTGACCTCATAACGTGCACACATTGCACAACACAACGACACGACTTTTCCCAAAGTGTATGTAATAACCAGAATCTGATGCCGACTTAAAGGCGACTTCAGATCACTATTCAAACATATTATCAAATGGAGAGGCCTTTAGAGCCTTTGATTCAAATAAAGATATCAATCGACAGTTTTTTGTTGTCTGAGAATGAGATGTGCTTTTCTTATGAATATTTATATGAATGTTAAGCTTTTCATCAAATATTATAAATATGAACATATAATTCATTGTGTATTCATACAAATGGCAAACATATAAACTCATTAAGAATTAAGTGATTTTCTAGCATTTGTTTATGCATTCAGACATAGTTTGTAAATATGAATATTGTTTAGAAAACCTCAACAAATCTCCATTCACTACAAATAGAGAGTATCACTGGGTTTCTCATATTCTCATCCCAAGTCCTCAAACAGTCCCTAAACAGTCCCGTCTCTCAGCCCTCAGTCGGACTCCACATAGATTTCTATCACCACTCACTGACCTTGTGTTAGGACCGGCTCTCTCTCTCTCTCTCTCTCTCTCTCTCTCTCAACCCAAAGGAATGTCTACTCGAATGGCCGCCAGCAGTGGTAGGACTGCCAGCACTTGTAGTCCAGAGAGTCGAGAGAGAGAGAGAGAGAGAGAGAGAGAGATAATAATAGACTAAAGTGTTTACAAAAAATTTTATCTAAAGCCTAAAGTGAGGAAAACGAGAGAGAGAGAGAGAGAGCAGGAAAGCAATTGGGAATATGTAGTGATCGTACATTTTTTCAATGGAATTCATATTTCGGTTTAAAATACATTCAAAAAAGACCTCAAAATACAACTCTAAACACGAATTATACTGAAGATTGCATTCAAATTGTCTCCACATTTAGTCGAAACAAAGTTTGAAACGAGAAGTAGAGAGACGTTAATCAGATTAGAGAAGTGAACAAAACAGTAATTATATCGACGGAGAAAATGAATTAAAAATATGACCAAAAATACTATACAATCTCATATGGCTTTTGGGCTAATATTAATTAGCGGCTCAATTGATAAACTAGTTTTAGTCGAGTGTTCATTAATTATAGTACAGTATATTCACACCAATTATTAACTATTACTACAGACAAACCAAATGAATGAAAGAGTGAATTACAATATATTTGACGTCAAAATATTGATCTCAATATAGAGTAGATTCGCTCCCAAAGAATGGTCTCATAAGTGATATAATTAATAGTTTGCGAGAAAATCATAAGACGAGCAAAACTTTAAAAATCGTTTGCGAAATATTTTCTCGACTCAAACCCAAACGGATGAACACAACTCTCAACGAAGAAAAGTTTGCGTTAACTTAAAAATGTTGTATTTTTTGGGTTCATATATGGGATTCAAAGGCATGTTTTCATCGCTGAAACTCTTTCATAAAAATTATAAGAAATGGCGAGAAATGAATTGCAAAACGGCTTTTCATTAATATAATAATCATAAAACGTTTGACCCGAATATTGAGCAACATTTCTGCGCCAAATTCATTAATTTTGAGGGCTTTTATAGTCTA